TTATTTATTTATTTATTTATTTATTTATTTATTTATTTATCATTATTTTTTTTTTTCAAGCCATGCCAGTAGGGTATGGGGGCATGGGATCAGAGATTGCATGAAGGCTTGAAGACTGAATTTGACTTTTGAAAATTCAATACCAAAAACGGCCAGAAGATGGCAGAAGTGCATCTATATCTACCACTTGCATGAACCACATTTCTCTTGACATCCTGTTGTGCTGCTAAGCGTCGTGTTTGGCGAGGAAAGCACACACCCTTATTTAAATCGCATTAACGGTCAGTTATTCACGCTGGTACATCATCTGTTGCCGTAGCTCCTGGCAAACGTGCAGTGTGCGCGGCCGCATAAACAGCTGCCTGATGACCAGGGTCTAATTCATGTTCACCTAACTTCCTGCTCCAGCTGCTAAATGGCTCGCCATCTCGCCCTGTCTCCTCCTGCCATGCCCAGCGCCATTTATTTTTGAGACCTTTACCTATGGTTGTGAAATCTTCCACAGAGTTCATGAACTGCATTGTACCCACTCCATGTGATTCCGTTTTCTCTATCGTCCGTCTCTCCAAACACAAAGCTTCATTTATTTATTTTTTATTGTTTTTACACGTCTCTCTGTTGAACGTGTAGAGCTTCAGCACTGAACCACTATCTATCTGGCGACTTCAGCAAGAAACGAGAAGAGGTGGTACATGCTTTCCTAAGACCCGCCCCCTTCTTCTTCTGATTGGCTAATACTGTTAGTTTCAGAGCTCTCCTTTACTACCATTGGCTGACAAAAGCAAGAGCGATTTTGATTGTCTTTTTTAAATTTATTTGCCTTCAATTTATTTTCGAGTGATTTTTTATTTTTTTTTTAACCCACGGGCAATCGCTACGAGCCGGAAATGCAGCCTGGGCCCGGAATTCTTTAATCGCTTCTAACGAGACATGAATGAGTTGAAGAAATAGACTAATTTGTCATTTATAATGCTTTCCAACCCTTTTCTGTAGACAGGATACGTTGGAAAGCAGAGACTCTTGAAATATGTAACATACATGTATGTGTTTGTGTGTTTAGAGGCCGATGGCATCCAGGTGTGTGAGACAGATGGAGGAGCCCAGTTTCCCCTGCCTGAGGTACCTGCTGTCATGTGACAGCCAGTCTCAGCTCTTCCTGTCGCAGCTGCAGGGATACAGCGCCGTGTTCTGGAATGGAGACAATGAGGAGAGGTTGGTTTCTACTCCTCACTGCTCTGGTGATCCATTGTAAAGGTCATCCAAGGGGTTTAAAATGAAATCATACATAATTAGTTAAATAATGAATGGTTTTACCTTGTTTAGGAAGAATGCTGTCTTTATAACCTGGGAATAGCACCATGAAACAAATAAGTTTTATTTAATCCTGATAATCCTAGTGAGGCTTTTTGCTCGTCTGCAGATGGCATCTAGGAATCAACCGATGCATTTTTTTTAAAGCCAGTGTCAATTATTTAGACATTAGTGCAACAGATTCCTGATACGTTGTAGGTTTGTTTTTTAACTGATTATTTAAACCAACGTTGCTTTTTCGTTTAAAAACAAAATACTTCATCTACAAATCAGCGCTGCCAATTCAGCGCTTATTTAATAAAATTCAATTCAGGTTATTTCTATAGCGCCAATTCACAACAAATGTCATCTCAAGGCACTTTACAGTTCACCAGATCATCCAGTCAAAAAGATTCAAAGTTTTCTATCTAAGGAAAACCAACTGATTGCATCGACTCATTGACTCGAAGGCAATCCCTCACACTAAGCATGCTTGTAGTGACAGTGGAGAGGAAAAACTCCCTTTTAACAGGAAGGAACCTCCTGTGGAAAAATACTCAGTGTGAGTGGCCATCTGCCGAGGCCGACTGGGGTTCAAGGAGACATTTAGCGACTTTTGGGACCTCCCTAGACTCTTTATTTGAAAGAAGCACCTAGCACCGAATCTCACGACTGTTTTCTGTGTTTATGGAGACTCTGGCAACAACAAAAAAAGGCACTGAACTCTGTACTCCTGAGCGAGTGGATCAATAGACCTGCCTCTATCTGTTTCCCCCTCTATCTGCTTGCCCTGCAGCAGAGAAAGAGAACACCTTTAATTACAGATTGTAAGTGAAATACTTATGCAAAGCTGCTGCTGATTCCACCTTAAACTGTAAAGTGGGATTATGAAAGTATTTATTAAGTTGACACAGTTGTCTCACATAAAAAACAGAATTAAAAATGCTGCCTTTTCAATATGCTTTTAGTTAGGAATATTTCATAGGATGTACACCTTGGTGTTTCACACCTTTAGGCTTTTGCTTGGCGTAGGAGGGTCCGAGGGTATCCTCCCCTGGAAAATGTTAAAATTTAGACTCTCTGAAACGCTTTTTCCTGCTACATTAACTTTTTGTCTTTGTAATAACACTACTTTTGTCCTGATTATGGGAAGATAAGAGGTGGAGGCTTCATAATTAGGACATGACACTTTAGGTACAATATTATGTTTCATAGGTTCATTCACACAATACAATACAATACAATACAATACCGCGATTTGAGCAGCAAAACAGCGTCTGCTGCTTCGTGTTTTATGCTTGTCTAAATTACGTCCGACGTGCCTCAAGAGCATCTTTGACGCTCCTGAAGCGCGTCCAGTAAAGTGGGTCCAGATGCGTCTGATGCTTCTGTGTTTAATGGCAGAGAGCGGCTTTGTTATATTTGCTGGTAAAAAAGTAGTTTTTTAAAATGAGAAAATCCACCTCAAAACATCCCAAAAACAGGATGTACAATTTGTCATTTTTCTTGTAAATGCGGGGGTTGTAGGAGAGCTGCCAGCCTCGCCTCCATAAACTTCCTCTCTTACCCCCATTTGTTCCTTTTCTGATGGAGACAATGGAGAGCAAACATCTGCTGAAATTGCTCTGATTGTCTTTCCGTTTAATCGGTCTGTCAATCAAAGCTGAGACCACGCCCACTCCTCATTTCCCTGCTCTGCCTCCAAATGGGGCATTTTTCCATTCAACAAAGAAGTAAGACTCCAGTTTGTTAGCTGCTCTTTCAAACATAAATGCGTGTCAATGGCCTGTTTGTTACAGAAACTACAGTGTGGTGAATGTGGAGAAGGCCCAGGTGGAGGTCAAGAGGATGTGTTGTCCTGNGAACTCTGTCCTCCTGAGCGAGTGGATCAATAGACCTGCCTTTATCTGTTTCCCCCTCTCTCTGCTTGCCCTGCAGCAGAGAAAGAGAACACCTTTAATTACAGATTGTAAGTGAAATACTTATGCAAAGCTGCTGCTGATTCCACCTTAAACTGTAAAGTGGGATTATGAAAGTATTTATTAAGTTGACACAGTTGTCTCACATAAAAAACAGAATTAAAAATGCTGCCTTTTCAATATGCTTTTAGTTAGGAATATTTCATAGGATGTACACCTTGGTGTTTCACACCTTTAGGCTTTTGCTTGGCGTAGGAGGGTCCGAGGGTATCCTCCCCTGGAAAATGTTAAAATTTAGACTCTCTGAAACGCTTTTTCCTGCTACATTAACTTTTTGTCTTTGTAATAACACTACTTTTGTCCTGATTATGGGAAGATAAGAGGTGGAGGCTTCATAATTAGGACATGACACTTTAGGTACAATATTATGTTTCATAGGTTCATTCACACAATACAATACAATACAATACAATACCGCGATTTGAGCAGCAAAACAGCGTCTGCTGCTTCGTGTTTTATGCTTGTCTAAATTACGTCCGACGTGCCTCAAGAGCATCTTTGACGCTCCTGAAGCGCGTCCAGTAAAGTGGGTCCAGATGCGTCTGATGCTTCTGTGTTTAATGGCAGAGAGCGGCTTTGTTATATTTGCTGGTAAAAAAGTAGTTTTTTAAAATGAGAAAATCCACCTCAAAACATCCCAAAAACAGGATGTACAATTTGTCATTTTTCTTGTAAATGCGGGGGTTGTAGGAGAGCTGCCAGCCTCGCCTCCATAAACTTCCTCTCTTACCCCCATTTGTTCCTTTTCTGATGGAGACAATGGAGAGCAAACATCTGCTGAAATTGCTCTGATTGTCTTTCCGTTTAATCGGTCTGTCAATCAAAGCTGAGACCACGCCCACTCCTCATTTCCCTGCTCTGCCTCCAAATGGGGCATTTTTCCATTCAACAAAGAAGTAAGACTCCAGTTTGTTAGCTGCTCTTTCAAACATAAATGCGTGTCAATGGCCTGTTTGTTACAGAAACTACAGTGTGGTGAATGTGGAGAAGGCCCAGGTGGAGGTCAAGAGGATGTGTTGTCCTGGCAACAGGATCAGCTGCCAGATGAAGATGCGTAACTCTCTGTGGATGGCTACTGAGGTATTAAACTATAATATGGTTTCTGAGAAGGATGGATGTTGGATGTGCAGGATTCTGATTCTCTGTGGGATTATTTCCAAAGGAACAGGAGGTGTTCATCTACAGCCTGAAGGACATGTGTCCTCTAAGTCAGCCTCAGAAACGGCTGTCCTGTCCAGCTGTCGTCACAAGTTTGTTCCACGTTCCCGCCGGAGAACAGGTCAGCTCACATGACGACGAGGGGAAACAAACATTGGGTTGTTAACTGATGTGTACACGGTATCCTTTTTGTTACGTTAGCTTTCCTGTGGCTTGTGGAGTTAAAAAATTATGAGAAATATTTGTTCTTAGCCTTACAGGCTCCAAACGAAGGTCATTAGAGATAAGAATGAGTTAGGAGATCCATCTCACCAGTGAAAGATATATTAACCTAACAGCTAATGGCCTTGATGAACTCAGATTGTTCTTCCTCCAAATGTGTGAGAAAGTTCTTTATGCAGGGGGTGGGTTGGTTCCCCTGGGGAGAGTGTGTGTGTTGGAATTTTGTAAGGTATAAATGTTTATACTGAGGTTGCCTCTCAGTCTGAGGACTTAAAATAGATTTTAATCTTTTTTCTCACAAGAGATGCCTCTGCCTCAGCTTCCTAACTCCACAGGCTAAACTAGCTAATGTTCATGCTAGCTTTAGCAAACAGCTTTCACGTTGACAAAAACCAGAGAGGCCAGGAGGTAAAGGCTGTTTTTGATCTCTTTTTTTGTTGCAATGTATACTGTTGATGTTTTTCCTCTCCTGGTTGTAATTGGAGGTGTTGTTTTTGTCAGTGCTGTGGCTCTGCTGCCCCCTCTGACGGGGAGGCTTATACGCATATGGGTGTTTTTAGAAAAAACTGCATATATAACTAGAATTAATTTAGTTAAATTCAGTTTATTACCATGAAGCAAATGAACAACACAAGTCATCTCATCACTGTTCCCAACAACCTCAATAAATTGTTGCATTCATGCTGATTTTTGCACAGTTTCTATCATAGTTAAATAACATGCTGTTTATTGGTTATTTATTCTACAGGTATTTATATTGTTAAAACACTTTGCAGAATAGTATTTTATTTGTTTTTTTGTTGTTTTTTTTGCTGCTGTAAACACCAGTATTTTCAATTGTGGGACAATAAAGGGATTTCTATTCTATTTCATGCACTAACTTTGAAACTAACTTATTTTATTGTAGCCTATAGGGATAAAAAAGGAAATACTGTTTTTCTTCTCCAACCAGAACTTGGCCAAAGTGTTTGCAGGGATGTCTGACGGTCTGGTCGCCGTCTACACCTTGGTGGACGACCTCCCTCTCGATGGAGAAACGTACCTGTGTTCTCACACCTTAAACAAGACTGTATTTGGTCTGAAGGACTCTGATCCGAGGCAGAGACCCTACCCTGTCAGGAGCATGGCTCTGGTCAGCAGCGGCTCGCAGGTGAACATGAAGCTGCATTTATCCGCATCGAACCGCAGCGCTCTTCCTTTCAGTCAGGTTCAAAGTGATAAAAGTGATTTTTTTTTGTCATCTTCAGTTGTGGTTCTCCAACGGCCCCGGCCTGCTGGTTATCGACACGACGAGTCTTCAGGCGGTCCGAAGGCTAGAACCATACAGGACACCGTCCTCCGTCATCAGCATGACGACCAGCTTCAGTCTGTGGGGAGAGGAAGCAGTGTGGACCCTGGACGACACCAGCAACACGCTGCTGCTCTACTACGCCGCCTCCTACGAACTGTGTGCATCGTACTGGTAGGTTCTCATGATCACAGGAACACCACTGCCATATGGACTATCTAGGGAACAAAGTAGGACACAAGCAGTCGACTACATTTTCTGTTTGTCTGAACTCATGGAAGCAGACAATAAGGCGATTTTGAAATCCTAAATATTTAGAAACCCTCGTTAATATTTCAATATAACTTAATGCTTTGTCAGGGTTTCCGCAGGTCATTAAAAATCATTAAGTCATTAAATAATTATTTTTTTAATTAAGGCCTGATTTTTCATTAAAATTGATTAAATGTGATGATTTTGTCATTTAAAATGCTTTATTTAGAAAAAAGTTTATAAAAACAATTTATTAAACAATATATATATTTGCAAATATATCGTAATATACTTGCGCGGAACCACTTCCGGTTGATCGTAAAGCCGTAAGTTCGGAAAAGAAGCTCGCTGCGGAGAAAAGGCTATAGAATGGGGAAAATGCTAATTTCAACAAAAGTGGCTGGAAATTGAGGAATTGCAGCCTGCCGACGGAAAAGATGAAGGAATTTGCCGTGTATATATGAGAGTCATGGGTATTTGTTGATGGCATAAAAATTATTTCTAAGAGCATTAAAGGAGCATTAAACATCATTAAATTAGAGTTAATCATTCCTGTATAAACCCTGTTAATACAAAAGACTATTTTAATAAATTATTATTCACATTATTATCGACAACTAGATGACATGTTGGCCTAATATGTCATAATTTTCCTATTAACTCCAAAAATTGTTGTTCATGATACTGAAAAACTCATATTTACAAAATTACAAAAAATTTAAATGAAACCTTCTTATATATA